CAATATACAATGTCACCCGCCTTGTTATTATTACGAATGCACGAATGATACCGTGTATGAACTTCATACGTGGGATACCCTCCGTCCTTGATACATACATTTATACGCTCTACACTTATCTGCATTATCACGGGATTAACTATATTCGCGATTCTGGCTGCACGCGTGCTCGAAAAGAAGGCGCGCCGCAAAATTCCCTGTATGTTTCCCAGATAAGAAGTGTATGCTCTGCGCCTACACCCATGCAGTTCTAATTACTACCCCGTCCCCGTACCTGACAACCCATAACCCCCATCAGCGCTGTGCGGCAAAAGGGGGGGGGGGGGGGGGGAACAAAAAAACCAACCCACTCTTTTGACGAAATTGGAAATCTTTCCAGTATTTTCGTACTCCGGAACACTGACTCCGTACGCCGCGGAGTATCCACTATTACTCTAAATGAGGAATGATAAAAATCTACTGTCTGAGCGTAAGAGGCGTTGATAGTGATTCTCCCAACCCTGTATTTTCACAATCTTTGCTGTCTTTGTTCACTAGTTTAAAGCCCTGGCCTTCTGGGGATCTCTTGGCTGCATTAGGGCTAAATTAGATGATCGAGCGGAGGTGGGTGGAACAACGTTAGTGGAGAGGAGCCCTGAAAGAAGAGGGAGGGGATAACGGTTCCCTGTTACATACTGGCTACATTGGCTATTTAACCTATGAAGTTAGTTGCTGTGCAGATTCTTAATTCGCTATGAGTATCCTTGAGAGAAAGCTTGAATATTTGCCCTTCAACCAGACAATATTCGGTGTTAGTAGTTCTGCAGGCCAAGAAAACTAACAACTTCTTAATCTATGAGAGGGCTTTTCAAAAAAAAAAAAAAAAGCTTGCCTTTACACAGATAACTAAAGCTTAGTACTGCTGAAAAATATTGTCACACTATTACCATGTTTGTGTGCCCTATGATATGACTACTGAATTTGGTGTATACTGGGCAGCATGAGGATAAAGAAGCAGCGGAGAGAGCTGTTACGGCTTGTGGATATCAATACCCATTCTGCTTCAGTGCATTAAGATGACACCCTGTTTAGTGGCCGTCCGCAGGAATATTAACTCCCTGATCAAAAAAGGTAATAATGCGATGACTAGAAGGCTTGTAATTTTATTGCACATGCTTATAGGCCTGCTTCCCAATACAGCTGCTGCACTTTGTTTCTATCTCAATGTCTGACTTCTTAGCTTGACTTCTAGTCTTCAAAGATAGCAGCAGCTTTATTCAAACCTTGTTTGATCTTAGCAATAGTGGTAAATTTATTATTGATCAAATTGATTTCATTTTTTAATTTTTGAGCTGTGAAATATTTTCATTTAACTTTAATAATTTATAATTTATTTTTATATATTATCTGTTTATATATTCTTTTGTTTTATATTATTTTTATAATTAAATTTTATAATAATTATAAAAAAATTTATTTATTTATTAAAAATTTATTTTTAATATATTAAATATATATATATATATATATATATAATATAATAAATAATATTATCTTTATTATTTTATTATAATATTATTTTTTTAAAGCTTTATTTATTTATTATTATAATATTTCTTAATATTTTTTATTATAAAATTAAAATTAATAGTTTTTGAAGTTACTTTTAATTTTATTATTATCTTTAATAATTAAATTTATTTTTTTATTTTTTAATATATATAAATATTTAAAATAAATAAAAAAATTATTTTTTAATTTAATAGTTTTTAAAATTTTTAAATCAAATTATAATTTATTTAATTACTTTAAATCTTATATTTTTATATTTTTTAATATTTTTTAATTATTGAAAAATATTTAAATATTCTTATAATATTATATTTATTAAAATTTATTTAAAATTTTTAGAATATAATTATATAAAAAATAAAACTTAACTATATCTATTGTTATAAATTTTTATCATTAAAAATTACTTTAATATTTTATATATAATTATAAAAATTTAGATATTAACTTTTAAAAATTTAAATTATATATTTTAAAATTTTATTTATATTTAAATATTATATAATAAAAAATATATATTTAATTTTTAATAATTAATATATATAGTTTTATATTATACTGATAAATTAAATATTATAATTAAAATTAATTAATTAAAAAATACTATAAATTTAATAAAATAAATTTTGAATAAGTATATTAATAATTATTTCTATATTTATTTTTTTATAAATTTTAGTAATTATCTTTTAACTCAACTTCACTCTCTATATAAACTTTAATTTTAATATTGAATTATTAAATAAAATATTAAATTAAATCAGTTTTATAAAAAATTTTAAATATAATAAGTTTTTTTATTAAATATATTTACTTAAAGTGTAGAAAAATATGATTAAATAATTAAGTAATATTTATAATAAATATACTAATAGTAGAAATTAACTGAGCTTTTATATTTTAAAATTAAATTTAAAAGATTTTCTTTTATAAAGTCTTTTATTGATTTTAGAAAAATTATTATTTAAAAATTTTTTAAAGTTATATAAATATATTTACTGAGATATATTTATATATTATATTAAAAGTTATAATCAAATTATAAAAGTCTTTATTACTAGTAGTAAAAATATTAATAATAAATTATATAAATTAAAATTATTAAAATCTTTAGATATATTATTAATATTTTCTATAATTATTTATAAAAATATATTAAATTATTTATTTTATTAACAGCTCTATATTATATATAAAGTTTTAATAAAGTTAATTTTTTAAATTTTAAATTATTAATTTTTTTTATAATAAAAAAATAAATAATATAAATAATTTTTAATATAATAAATTAATTACTGAGAATAATTAATAATTAATATTATAATATTAAAAATTTTTATGTTTACTTTTTATTTTTATATTACTTACTAAAATATTTTATAAAAAATTAAATTACTGTATCATAATTTTTTTATTTTATAAAAAATTAAGAATAAAACTAGTATTACTTATTTATATATATAAATACTTTGAATTTTTTCAAATTTTTTTTATAGATTTAATAATTAACTATTATTTAATTTTATATTTATATTTTATCTATTGATATTCTTCTCTTATAATACTTATAATATCTATTTTTTTACTTTTTTATAATACTAGTTATAGTACTTCTTATGCATTTTTTAATATTTAGTTTATTCATATTGAGATTCTTATAAACATATATAAAAAGAAAAATAAAATAAAAATAGAAGAAAAGAAAACTGTTTATATAAATATTAAATTTTTATTAAAAAAGATGAAGTTTTAATAATAAAATATCTTATATAAAATTAATTAAAATATTATTTTAATAGTAATTATATTTATTATCTTAGTAATGAAAATATAAAAGTAAAACTTTAATAATTAAATT